AAGCACTCTTCCATCTGTCTTACTGGTGAAATCAGCCTTCCCCCGCATCTCCTTGTTCTCCTTCCCACCTTTTCCAGATCCACAGCTGCAATCCCCTCCTCACATTTTTCCCTGTTACCATCCACTCATTTCTGTGACCCCAGTTCATCTAATACACACTAGCTCATTTTTCTCTTGGTTCTTTAGGGCTGAAAAGAAGTTTACTTCTCAACCCTGCAGCTAAATTGTGGGGACACGTCAGCCTTGGATGCTTACTTTGGCTGACCAGACACTTTAGCAGCAGTGACAAGTTGCATAGTGGCTACTTTTGGGTCAGAAGCCCAGCGTGAAGGCAATAGACTTTCCCCAGCATGTGTAGCCCAGGGCTGAAGCTGGCGTAGGGTCTGAGCTACCTGTTGCATAGGTACACAAGGATCTACCAAGATGAAAGAATGGCCTGTGCAAAATGTGATGGTGCCTTCACTTTCTTTTTGTAGAAAAACCTTACTCTGTGGCTTTGAGGTGCCTTTTACAGCAAGTAGAGGAAAAGAAGGCAGATTACACATCAGTCCGAGCACTGGTAAACTGGTCAATTTTATAGACTATGAGGACAGATAATGCAGTTTCCAAAAGAACAGCAAGTAGCATGAAAAGCTATAAAACGGTCACTGATGCTCATTATTATTCAAACTGTAATCCTGGTCTTCACCCCCCCACCCAGAGCAGTATTCACAGCACATCATACTTTAAAGCCTAAACTGCACTTATCTCACACCTCTGAATCTGGCACAGAATAACCAACTCTCAGTAAGGAACGAAAAAATAAAGCCAACAGAAAGCTGCCTAACTGAATTCTTGGGACAATGAAGTGTGAACAGGTGTGATGATGTGTTAAACAGCATGTGGCAAAAATGCCTATGCTTGCTAATGAGATGACAGTTGCTTGTTATGCAAACTGTCCTACTAAAATCATCTTTGCCTGGTACCTATGCCCTTGGGCTCACATCCAACCAACCTGAGAGCTGCAACATGTCATTCAAAACGGCATTCATCAGTATAGACAACTTTATGAAAACTATATGCATAAAAATCCCAAATACTTGCTACCGTTAAAGTAAATACAAGTTCTCATCAGAGTAAATTTGGAACATGCAAGCTTCCCTAGCCAAAAACGAGTGGGCCCTGATGAGAATTGCAAGCTCCACTAGTGGGAAATATAGACTAATTAAAATGAAATCTCCATTCAATGTATTTTTGTAGCTTGAAATAACACTGATCTTTTCCAATGAAGTGAGTGCTAATAAATTTACATATTAAATTGCAATGAGCTAAAAGAGAAGTGGAACAATATGGGTTTGTCTGTGATTTTTCTCCCAGAACACAGCCTTCCTATTTATTTTATTTATTGGATGGAGAAAGAAAAGGAGGCAGGGAAGGAAGAGTAATCATCCTATAATTATTCCTCCTGGTTTTGGTTTTTTTTTTTGCTGAAGAGTATTATGCATTTTGCATGTTAAAGAAATGAGAAAGAAATTAAAATCTACTGCCAATACATATATTAACATATCAACAACTGAAACCATTGAAATCAATAAAGGAGGATGATACATTAACCTTTAGAGAACTGGACTTCAAGATGAAGACTGATGGAGTGTTTCTGTGTTTGATCAGCTCATTTAAGCCAGTATGCAATGTAAGTTAATTGGCTGTTACAAAGTAGCGCACAGAGATTTTCATGGTTTAAAAAAAGGCTTCTATTATTATTGCAGCAAACTTAAGATCTCCTTACCTTTTTTCCACATCCTCTTATTATGAATAAACATACAGAAGGTATATTGTGCTGCAACATATGCTTTAATTGACAATAATTTTTTAGGCTCATTTGCCATCTTTTTTTTTTTTTTCTTTCCATGATATTTCCAAAAAGAAAGGATTGAGGAGGAATCATATACACTAAATAGATCACACTATACAACCACATAAACCCCAGCATACATGAACTCTTGATAATTCAAGAAAAAGAAATTTTTTGACAAAATGTTTCCTGAAAATTTGTATTCCACAGCATGGAAGGAAGGCAATTTATATTCAGTGTTAATGACAATAATATGCAAAAATATGATGTCTGCTGAATTGAAAATAGTTTCTCTTAGCTTTTAGCCAAAAGGAGGATATCCCTGGCATATTTTGGAAGAAGTTGGATATATTTAAATTAATTGTGAGAAAGACTGAAGAAGATGGTATGCAGAAAAAAACACCTTTCTTTTTCTTGAGCCTTTCCAAAATATTTCATTTCTTTAAAAACAATTTTGTACTTCAGAAAAAAATTACTAATAGTACTAATGACTCATAACAGAGGAAATACATATAAATACGAAAGTATTACAGCAAATCATATTTCCCATTCATTTTTAAGATTAAATACTGTCACTGAAACAATGTATTTTGGTTAACATTACACTCATTGCTTTCTGAAACAGCTCTTGTTTTCTAAATTATAAGGGTGAAATAACTCATAGAATAGGAATTATTTACACTATACGTGTAACCACAGTTATTTTTAAAGTGAGGGAAGCATTTAAACACATGCATGTACTGAGAACAAAATACAATCCTATCTTTCTGAACTCAGGTTGACCTATATGGGTGTGCTGACACAACGTAATTATGATGAACAACCTCGTTATAGAATAAGGAAAGCTTCCTGTGGCTGTGCTGTTTTAGCAAATATCTGTACAATATCAATTGGACAAATGTCCTCCACAACTAAAAAAATTAATGTTATAATAATCTGTTATTAGAATCGATAACTTTTATTATTCATAATGCATGAAGTGCTAAGATGAACCTGTTGTGCAATAAATTTAGTGGTCTGTCACTTAATACAATATGATTTTATAATATTGCTAATGTGCACAAAACATTCCAATATAGAATATTGGCACACATTAGATTTATGATAAATTTAAGGTAGGGACAAATCTAGGCTAAGTCTTCATGTTGCTCAAGTGAGGTCAGGAAAATCAATATTGTTCATAATGTGACACAGAAGCTTAAGTGAGACACCTTGCAAATTAGAGGATGCACTTCTCTATTTACCCTAAGGGGTTGTTTTTGTTTTTTTAAACAGACATATTCTATGACTTCTAAGGCATCTAATAAAAATTATTGTGACATTTTAAATCCTTCCAATGGATACAGTATGCACATAATTAAGATCAACAAAATGATCTGCAGTAACTATTTGAAAACTATTTCATTTTCAGTTTACTTCAAATTCACCATTTGCCTTTCAGATATAACCATAAAATAACAGAACAGACACAGATCTGAAACAAGTATAGGTTTATAGCCCCAAACCACAACAAGTAGAATGCAAGTACATGGACAGAAGTTGAGAACTCCGCTTTCCTTCATGTTTTCTTCTATGGAACAATCCTACCTTACCTACAGGCTTCAGATGGAGAAAAAAATGGAATGAACGTAGCTAGTGAGATTAACTGCAAGGCTATCTAGCACTAATACAACCTCTATGCTTTATGCCAGGTTTTCAGAGAAATTTCTTTTGTAACACCCTATGACTTTGTACCTCCATTAGGACCTTAGGTTTGTTGCAGTCAATACAATAAACCTGGAGTTTTCCTAATGGTCTGTAAGAGGACAATGAAGTTCTGAAAAACTGGAATATTCCATGAAAACTTCTGATTTAATGTCTTACCTTGGTGTACAAAAGAGGTACAAAAACAAGAGACATAAGGAAAAACTCAGAAATTCTGGGTTTCATTCAGCTCCACAAACTCTACAAAATATGGAAGTTAAATAATATCACCAGTATCTTTGGCATACACTATAACATCAAAAAGAATAAACATCAGTCCCACATCTGTAAGAAATATCAGGAAAAGTAACAACTTAACTGGGAATAACCAGTTTAAAGAGTCTGTCAATATTCTCATGGTTTTATAGGCTGCAAGTCCAACTCATACCACATATTTTTTGAGAGTCTCTGCAAGTTCAAGACTGTTAAACTGATTGTCTTCAAAATGATCCTAAAAATCAAGTCCACATGAAATCCTCCAGATGAATTAGGAAAAAAAAAAAAAAAAGACCACGTAAGTATTTCCCTCATTACCATATCACTCTGGAAGGTCTGTGGTAATTACTCTTAGTTTCCTTCCTATTAGCTTTTTTTTTTAATGTCTGTGCCTTGCTTCCATTTAGAATAGAGTGTCCTTAGGACACAGACTAGATTGCTTTATTTATCTGTGGTGGGGTCATACTGGTTACCATATAGCTTTTTTTTTTTTAATGTTACAACAGTACTTAATTTTACTTAAGTATAATATTAATAAAGTAGGTAGGAACTTACCAGGCAAGGATAACACTATTTCTGTTTCTTGCCCATTCTGGTAAATGCATCAAAATCATATGCCGTGATTAAACTCAGAGGCAATGGGAACTTTTAACTCCAGGTATTGAAAATCTATTTTTCATGCATGCAGTGTATTCCCCTGAGTAGTAATTATAATTTAGGAAGTTCAAGTAGAAGCATGTATATCATTCCTTCTGCCAAAAGCACTCTGGTAAATCTTTGTTCTTTTGACCTGAAACCCTTGACTCAGTCCTGAGAAGTCCACAGTATGTTATTAGGTTGGAAGCATACTGTAAACTCTCATCTGCTTTCATAACAGGATTGTATGCCTTGCTTGAGCTTTCTTACAAATATCTTTAAGTATACTACACAATATAGTATCAAATTTACAGTGCAAGGTCATGCAGTAAAATCATAATAAAGTGGATTCTAACAGCTTTTGCAGTTTCTTCCTCTAAAAAGAAACTCACACTCAAAATATCTTTTTGCAATGTGACTTGGGTTACCATGTTTTGAATTTATGTTGGCCTGACAATGACACTCATAACTTTTTTCACCACTGTTTTCATGTCAGTTCACAACTGGTATAATCTAAGCCCTCTTTTATAACTGCTTTTTTCATATACTTCCTCTTAGGTTTACACTGGGGTGACTCAGACTTGCCATATGGAGTCTGGGGTTTTTTTTGCTTTTCATTTGTGTAAGATTGCATCCATCAGTGAAGAAACAGAAGAATATTGAGTAAGTGGGACAATGTCATTTTTCTGCACATGCAACAAAGAGGTATTGAACATGATGGATGTTTGGAAAAACATCTGTACTACTTCTGTTGTCCCTTGGCTCAGTTGTCAATTCACAGAAAGACACTGCTACCTTCATGAAAGGCACATAATAAAAGTTTGACAGTAAGAAGCTGGATCCTCCCACAGATAGAATCCATGACAAAAAATAGCCATATGTCAATAGCCATTGACAAGTTTCCATGGGATTCCCTGATAAATTTACATCCAAAACTGTATCTTCATTTTTGTAAGAATTATTCTGGTTGGACTCAACTTATGTAGACAATTGACAACTTGTAAGACAGGCAACACCAGAAATTTTGCTGCCTGTGAGCTTTTAATTTAGTCTTCTGGTGTATGATTATGACTAGGAACAGATGAAAACTTGCAGATGAATAAATTCCTGAATATGCAGTGCAGGCCATTGTAAAGTATGCCCAGTTTTCACCTCAGTCTCCTCTGACAAAAAAGAGATGACGACAGAGTGGATGAAAATTGTGAATATTGCATTTTACTTTTTGAAAGAAAAGCGCTGCTTTCAGCCTGAAAGTACAATTAATTCAAAATTTTTTCTCATCTCATTTTGAAATGGGGGAAGTATTTAATTTTATTTAAACAAAACACTCAAATCCAGAATTAACAATACTGCCACAGAAATAAGTTACTTTGGCCAGTGTATTTTTCATTACTGTTATGGGTTAGACTACAGGTAGTTGAAGATGAAAGATTAAGGTGACACTGTAACGTTTTTTTCAGTTTCTGCATAAAAATACTATAGAATTAGCTGAAATGTGAAAAACATAAACTCCAAACACTGTTGTGATAGAATGCTGGAGAAAGAGTTATCTATTCCAAGACAGACTGATCCACCATCATGAAGAAACTGAATTATGCAGGTGTACTACAGGGCCAAAAGACTAAGCAGAGTGTAGAACCTGTATTTTGAGGATGGTTTTGGAGAGAAAGCAGTCTGGGCTGAAGTGCTGAGCAAAACACATTGCCTTATTGATTTCTTCTTTTTTCAAGATACAGGATTTTTACTTTGATTTTTTTTTTCAGTTAAACTTGGCTGCATCTGCAGAATTCCTGACTCTCTCATCACTTTTTCCTCTCAACAAAAATGTCCTGTTTTACTTGAAATTTTGGGTAGTTATTCAAGTCAAATAGTACTTTCAAAGCACATCCAGAGACTGCATGTGATCTGAATTATGTTGTCAAGAACAAAGTTTCTGAGAGCAATGAGCTCAAAGGTCAAGTAACACGAATGCTAGTTTACCCTAAGAAAGGACACAGTGAATTTTTCACCTTACTGTGATTGAAAAGAGGGGAGAGAACAGCTCAATACTTTGACATTTTGCAGAGAAGTTTCTTCTTCTCTGTACCTGTAAAGTTCTTTCTCATAAGATCCCTTTAATAATCCATACTAACACAACTAAAACCTGTTGGCAGACCTGCAGATACACTGTGTTTGTACACTGAAAAAAAAATCATAGTGAAAGTGATAATAAAGGGGATTCCTTTTAAAGCTTTTATTCAACACTACTGATATTAGTGCTACTGTCATGGCACCCATCTCATCATACATGTAAACTTTTATAGTGCTTCTTTCTCCACACACAGCTACCAAGGCAGGACAAGAGAGAGTTAGTGGCACTAACCAAGTTCTTTCCAATATGGGCTAACTCTCTAAAGAGCAACTCTTAGCCAAACCAAGAAAAGAAAAAGACTGGTTATTAGGACATATGAAGAAAAACCTGTTGTTCTGATGCTCTATTTCAGAAAGCAGAAGCAAAGGAAGCAAAATTAATCTAATACCAGTAAACTCTGAATTACTAGATAACCTCTGTCTCCTTGCTTCTAGTATCAAATCATTCTTCAGGCTGGTCTTGAAATAAAGTATCTTCTTTTTTTTTTTTTTTTTTCTTTTCAAAAATGAGATGAAAATTTCTAAATGAACTTGGTTGGAAACACCTTCTCTTTGGTATTCTGGCTCACCCCAGATGTATTTTTAGAAAGAAAAGGAAGTTACTGTGCCCACATAGTATGAAGTTTCGCCCAATGTATAGTCCGATAGCTAGAAGCAAGACCATCTTAACAGTGCATATTGTATTATGATCTGAAAAATATTGTATTTCTTATAATATATTAGACTAGATAGATGCAATTTCTCGCAATTTTCTGAGACTAGCCAAATTTATGATATCAAGTATGCAGCTGTACAACTAATAAGGGCGAAGCAAACTCAGCTATCATTTCCAACTGGTAGTACTGAATGGAAACAAATGTACTGAGACACCTGAGATAGTCACACACAGAAGCAATCTCTGAAAACATTTACAAGTTAAGCAGCTACTGTGGGACATTGAATTTACATCAGAAAGACAAGCACCTGAAATCCCTGTGATGCTTACTGTGTCTGACTAAGTTTTTGTTGAAGCCTAGAAAGCTTCTTGTCCTTTTCTTCAGACTATAAACAAAAAGGGAAGCTCAATAAGGAGGCTGGGATGAGGCACCAAGATACTCTTCAGCATACTAATTCGGTGGAGCATGTAGGTAGCTAAACATTTCATAACAATTTTTTGTCAGTTTCTGAAAACCACATCTTACCTTTAAACTCCAATGAATGGGTTTTGGCTGCTCTTTAAATTCATTTGAGAGGGATTAAATTTATCTACTTAAATAATAAGTCAGCTGAATAATTAAGTTGAAAAGTGATGGGTTTTATTCATATGCCATTGATGGATATGATTCATAAGCATTTGTCACTCATTGTGGGAAAATTCTCAATCAGTAGCATGAATGTGTTGATGAACTAATCAATCAGTCTTTCACACATCTTTAAAACCCACAGCAACAATATCAACAATACTTAATTGTTAAAAGGTAACTCCACTGAAACCTAACAAGTGTGAGAATTTTCTTAAAATAAAGCTAATTTAAAATATGAAGATAAACAGGAAAACACTCAAACTTTCATAGTGAAACTGACAAATTGCGTTGTAACTCAGTTCTGACTGAAAAATAGTAATGAGTTTTTCCTCACCTCTAACTGTTAATCTTACTAACACAGCATATCTATTTTTAAGAAGTAGCAGTACACGTTGGCATTCATACTCTCAACCATTTGATGGTTATATACTTCCTAAACAATACTGTGGAAAGGGAGTAGCAGCCAGCAGCAAGCAGATGGGTGGATTTTAGTCTTTAGCCACCGAAGACTTCTACAGTGAAAACCAATTTACATGTCTAATCAAACTATGATATTACCAGTTATCTTTGTCATGATTTCTCACTTTAAAACTTGTCTTCAAATTTTAGGCTCCTGCTTTTAAAGTTAAAACCTACTCCTACTTCTCAGGAAAGCTGTTTGATGTATTAGTCACATTCTTCAGAAATTTTCAGCCCCCTATCTTTATGGCATAGTCACAAAAGTCAGCCAAGCACAACAAAAGCAGAATGTGCCTGTTAGTATCCCTCCAGTTTTATATTCTCATATAAGCTAGACTGTGAACCTTGGTTCCTAATCCTAGACAACCTATTTTCCTTCACAAAATCAATTTGATGGTTTCAACTGAATCCATCTTTGGTGCTATGCACCGGTCAAGTTCACAAAATTGCTATCATAACTCATTTCATTTGTCAATTTTTAACCAAAGAAATAGCTCAAACAGAGCTAGTGTGATAACTGAACTACCTCTCATCCTGTCCTCTACAAAGCACAGTTATTTTAAGTGAGCATTGACCAAGGTCACCATTAAACCGGTAGAGAAAATCCTTGTATACCAAACACCTTTCTAATCACCTTATGTAAAGAGTGGATAAAACACAGAAAACTGGTTTTCATCTTTTTGTGATTGCATTTGGGTCAACATTAAGATTGGTGAACAAGAGTTTCCACCTGAGGAAATAAAGTGCAAAATGTCTGTCAGACGGGAAGTCTACAGGGGCAAATACTACTAAGGTGCAGGTATTGAACCAGACATGCCACAGTAACAGGAAGAAACAATACAAATCGCATCTGAAAAAAACGTTGAAGTGTGGGTTCTGAAAAAAAGATGAAGTTCATCTGGAAAGATGAACTATGGGTTCTTTTTTTTCCTCCCAGTTTGTATACCAAATTCCAGCATGCTGAATAATGAACACATTTTTATTTTAAATGCAACAGCTGCCAAACATTCTAGCTGCTTGGGAAATGCCAGGAAAAAAATGTTGTTTTACAGAAAGCTTCCTAACAAACGTATTCTTTCAATAATACTGTTGATATAGCTACTAGAAATGTATGGTGAGAAATAAGACAAATTCTCTAAGTTAGTCACTTGTTTTAGCCATAAACAAGTTCCTGATTGACATTACTAAATAGGAACTCAGTTTATGCTGATGTATGTCATACAAGAACTAAAACATCTTCAAATCTGAAATCTCCCAAATATACCTCCAAATGTCCCAGCTTGTCCAACATCAGCAGGCTACATTGTGGGATTACATCTCTTGTATTTCCATGTTTTCACAAGTCACTGTGGCAGTAGAAAAGACAAAGAAAAGGTTATATCTTACAGAGCATTGGAAAAAACTTTTTTCATATTTGTTTTGTCACAGAATTGCTATTCACTTATGCTTATCTAATTGACATCATTGACACAAAGCCTTCCCACAGCACTCCTTAATTTTGTCCCCCCATTGGCCTTAAAAGTAAGGAAGAGTATTTAAATTACTAGTAGAGTTTTGCTGAACCCAGAGACAATTCACTGACTACAGCTCTTCACATCTTCATGTTTCCCTTCTGTGTATTTCCATACCTTTTCTCCTTGTGTGTGTCAGGCCTACAGCAGAAAATACTGAGCAAACAAAGCTTTTTGGCATGAGCCTTTGGGTATGTCATGCAGCACCAAAAATGTCTCAAAGATGTATTGCAGAAAAAGTTTGACTGTGCCATCCTGCCATCAGGGCAGCATATATGGGACACTTCCTCTTACTTCATTCAAGATCTCCTAGCTGTACAGCACTTCGCAAGTTCCCACTCAAATTTTCCAGATCAGTTATCACTCCTAGGATGATTTTTGTCCACCCAGAAGGAAATTTTTGAACCGTTTTTTTCCATTTATGTCCAAGAACATGGCTAAGGGGACTATGACTCTGATTTTCAAATGCAAAATTCTTATAATGACCACATCATTTGACAGAATGTTTTTCTGCTACTTCCTTCTGAACCAAAATTAGCTACTTCCTTTTTTTTTTTTTTAACCAAGATGCTCTCTCAGCCATTTTCTCTAAAGTTGGCCAAATTTGTCTGAATTAGAAGTGTCTGAAAGATTGAAGTCTACCTGTGTTCAGCAGCAACGTATTAGAACTTAGCAGTGAAATTCCCCACTGAACACCACCTTCCTTGTATTTTCCACAGTAAAGATGACAAATACAGACCTAATTTTCTGTGCTGGTCTGTACAAAAGAACCACATAAGCCTTAGCTCAGCTGTCTCCATTTTCTGACTGTTACTTCCTGTCCTCTAATGCCCCTGAGCTCTTAGCATTCATTTAATTAATTCAGTAAATAACTCTTTACTATTATAATTATGTATTTCATATATATAATAAAATTAAGTTAAATTTATAACAGCATTATCTAGATTGCACTTCAGTTATTCAATAAATACAAAAATGGTTAAAATAATCAGATTAACCATTTAAATGAATAAGGAAGGCACATTTTGCACACAGAAAACATTGTAGTCAATGGATCCATTAATACATTAAACTCTGTATCACGATTTATGTATTAATGCTTCTGCATGAGCACATCAAAAATAATGGAATTTAATGAGGAGGTAAGAGTCAACAAAATGATTTTGCATTAATAAGTTATTTGCCAGAGCCATGAACTAATATGAGATTTACATATGTAAGCTTCCCCATTCCAACATGGAACAATAAATTGATGAGAGCAAGAAAGGCAACATACTGCTAGTGCCAGAAGCAAGGTGTAACTAGCTAAACACAGTGGCCTCAAACCCACATGTGCACTTACCAATTTTAAACTATTTGCCCCCATCAGAGAATTAAAGCACAGAAATACAAGAGAGATTCAGAAAGCAGATAAATTAATACAGAGAGGCTGTGGAGGCATGAGAAAAGCCTTCTGGCTAAATAACAACACTAAATCATGTCAGCTTTCTGTGACCAGGAATGTAGAAATCAATGTCAGAATTCAGCTGCAATTTATTCAGGGGCAGGGGACCAAAACAAGTGAACAGGAGTTTGAGGACAGCTTCCAGGGAATAAGAAAATTCTCAAAATGCAGACTGAAAAAAGCCTGAAGAACCCAATTACCTGACAGTACCTGCCCTGGAGAGTGCTCTGTTTGCCTGGAGGCAAGGGAGAAGAGAGGTTGTGAGCTGACCCATTGCACTGGGAATCCTAGAGCAAGCCACTTGCTTAGATGCTCACCCCAAATCATTTTTTGAAATACAT